TATATANACACACACACATATATATATATATATATATATATATATATATATATATGTACTTGATTGCACACATACTTGTATTAAAATTTGTCTAGCATTACGTGTATATCCTACCCATCACCTCAAGCACAATTTGTAAAGTGAACACTCAACCACACACATGCTTCTATTCAAGAACCAAGTAGTGTCGCTGATATTTTCTCATTTGCAACCCATACATACACACTTTCGCAGGCGAGTTGCAGAGAGTAACCGTCAGTGCCATCGATCCCGATACCATGACTCAGGCAGAGATCGACCTGAAGGTCAAACAGTCCGTTCATCACGGCGTTTCCCTATACCAACTGGACGATGCAAAGCTCAAGATAGCGCATCCCACCATGATACTTACGCAGGCGTTGTGTACTGTCTGTGCCACGTCGTATTCTACTGTCATAGACACGTGCAATCGTCTAGGAGACACATTCAAGGAGAAAACAGGTTCGTTTATTGTATGGGAGAAGCCGATTTGTTCACTGTAGAGGAGAAAACAGAACCGTTCAGTGTAAATATTTGGTATATATTGTTTCAGTGTGGGGGTTAGACGTGTTTGCGATAGTGTTGAAAATCAAAGCCAGAAATATTAATAATTTAAATGTATATCAATAATTAGAATGTATGTTCATAATTGTAATGTATATTAATAATTTGAATGTATATATATAATCTGAATGTATATTAATATTGAATGTGTATTTGAATATATATTCATAATTTGAATGCATGTTAACGACCATGTATCAGGCTGTGACGTGAAGGTGCTCAATCTAGAGCCACACAGCTGCAAAGATGTCGCGCGCACCTTTGTTGAAGTCGCGGAACACTGCGGAGTGAAAGAACGAGGAGAAGCTCTAAGGGACGAGTTCATGGATGGCATGCAACGCATACAGGCTGCAGTGGAGAGTGTGGGTAAGTATGCGAATGTTCGGTGGTGACGAATTGGGTTCAATTCGGGTACGAGGTTGGGCTTGGGTTTGCGGTTGGTGGAAGCTGTCATAAACGAATCTATGTATGGCAATGAGATGCACGTAGGTTACAGTGGAAAGCGGGGTTAAGTGTGCGGATGTTTGTGTAGACGATTTTGTGTTGAAATTGAATACGTGCTAGTATTTGGAATTAGAGTCGGATTCGGGGTTGAATTTCGGAATAAATTTAGGTTTAGATTTGGGGACGCAATTGTGGACGAATGGTGGAAAAGTCCTCCGCGATGATTTCATAGCTGCCACAGTGCGTGTTCTCAGTGGCTATTAAAAGCCGATGGGTCATGTGCCTGCATGATTGCCTAGCGAGGTACTTCATATATGTGAGAGCGTATACATACATGTACACATCAACATTCTATTCTACAGCGCCTATTTCGGACATGCACATTCCTTGTCCACCCATCGCATGACTGCCAAGTAGCGAACTTTCAGCTCACACCCGCCCACACTACAACCACAGACAAACGGCTCTGCGACTTATGAGCGATGGTTGTTTTGCGTTACCACCATGCACCCTTATGTATCCCATCCAGCTCACTTGTCCTGGCACACATTTCCCACGCCATAGTAACGGCTCAATATTCTCTTAGTAGTATACAATTCCAAGCCACCACCCACAAAGCACATCCACCTCCCACACGCACCTCGCATGATCACAAGGCGTGTAAGGCATGTATCGCGTCTTGATAGGTACGCCTCTATATACACTGAGTAGTATACAGTCTCCAGCCTCCACCCACAAAACATGCAACCTCACTTATCGGCCTATCGACAGAACAAGCAGCGAATATATATTTAACGCATCCCATCCATCTAACGCAATACTCGCTTCGTATACCTCCATATCTACCCTGTATTGCAGAACTCCCCACTTCCACCCGCAAGCCCCGTGTATATGTAGTGGAATGGCTGGATCCACCTTTCGATGGTATGCACCGTTGTTCTCATCGGGAGGAGGTTTTTACTGTTGAGTTCAGTGTCTCAAGGTCGTTTGTACTGTTGAGTTCAGTGTCTCAAGGTCGTTTGTACTGTTGAGTTCAGTGTCTCGAGGTGGTTTGTTCTGTTGAGATCAGTGTCTCGAGGTGGTTTGTACTGTTGAGTTCAGTGTCTCGAGGTGGTGTACGTATCAAAGAACTCGATAGCCAGTTCATCCGACGCATCTTAACGTAGAGGAAATTCACTTTATTTCATTCCCTGATTGTGATCTGTCGTTGTCTTCACACAAATCCGTTCGCGTTCAGCGCTGCGCGAATATCTAGAGGCTGTCCTGTTTCGACTTCGACTTTAACATCGAAACTTGAACAGATAGCAGAAACATGTGTTATCGATTTTCAGGATCGACGTTGGGTCGAGTTGTGGCAATTCCGCTGGCGCCGACGCCTATTTGTTCGAGTATACTCGCTTTTGGAAACTTAATTGCAATTGTGTGTATGTTCGTACCCATATACCGCGGGCTTTCGAGATTCCCTTCATTTTTTTCCCGACCCTCAATGCCATATCTCGATACGCCGATGTGTCAGGTGGGCACTGGGTTCCTGAACAGATCCGATATGGCGGGTGTGACCCCGTGTTCAACCCAGAATGCGACCGGTCGAAGCAACGCTCGTGGAAAGAAATAGCTGAGAGCGATATAGATGTGGTGTTGGTGGGGTGCTGTGGATATGACACACCCAGGAATCTCAAGGACGCACAGGATCTGCTGGAGCCAAGCAATTCGAGTGAGGCGGCTGTGGGCTTCAGAAACCTATACGGTATGGTCTGGGTAGGACAAGTGCGCAGTTGGGGGGGGGTTTTTTTGGGGGGGGGGGTTTTGGGTTTTTGGGTTTAGGGTTTAATGGTATGGTGTATGTCATGCT